AGTGTACTTGTGTGTGAAAACCACGGGTAAGTTGTAGCACGCAAGGAAGTGAGTCAGTAGGAAATTAAACACAACTTACTATTTTCTCAATGTAAAAAGCCACAGGCAGGATTAATCCTTTTGTACATATCTAAAGGTGATTCTCAGATCACCTACACAAAAAGCAGGTTCTCTGTTTTGCCATGTTATTGCAACCCTATTTAATGATTCATGATGAAAAGCTTCAAAGGGCTCCAAGCCCTGACAACGGTCCCGGATCCGACCTATTCATTCTCATCTCAGCAAAAAATCCTTCTCAGTGAATAATTTAAGTCTATGAAGAGAGCTGCCTTAAAACTATTCCCGAGAGAAGGAGCAGCGTCTAGAATTTAATCTCATCATGGAAATAAAAATAAAAAGAAAATATCAAAAGAAAGCAGTGACTGCAACAACAATACAAGCCTTATTTTGCAGAATTCATCCGTTGTGAAACCCCACAGAAGGGAACACAGCTGTTTTCCCTGAAATATATTTCATGTTTCCAGAGACCAACGATAAAATCCAAAGCTTTGACTTTCAACTTACGATAGACAAACACACACAAGGATGACACAACTACTGTTCAGGGCTATGGAGGGAAGAAAAAAGGTCATTTAGAGCTAAAGGTGAAAACACGGACTTGACCACAGCCCGTAGCACATCCTCCACTGACTGAGGACAGCACTGTGGGAGAAGGCTTGCGACACCCTTCCCAAATCTGAGGCAATTCCCCCCTTCACTTCAGGCTTGGGATTGAGTTTTATATTTGCTCTGTTGCAAGGGCTGAGGGCCCGGGCACCGCAGGAGGCTCACACCATCTCTCCCATATAACACATGGCATCTGGTGCTGAACACAACATGGTTACGACACCAAAAAGGCATAAAAACTAGTGTGGCATCCAGGGAAAAAAAAAAAAAAAAGCTACATACAGCATACACCACGTCTGTGCACGTGCACCTCCACCTCCATGGTGAATTTTCTACTGAGCATTTTAAGTCTAATTCCTCTCCCAAACTCCTGACACGATATGCAGGGATTATGTCACGTCACGTCTAATGTTTAATCTTCTCCTCAACAGGCTGATGGGGATATTCTTATACATTAAACTCAGATGAGCCACTCACATCACTTTGCCTCAACAGCAATAAGTAGCTTCAGTTTCATGGCCATTTTAATAAAGATTTCCCATGATTGGCATCTTCATCTGCCTTGTATGGAACGCTGTGACATTTTGAAGGACAGTTAATCCAAATTGTAGCTCACCCTGCATTAGAAATAACCAGCATAACTGAAACCAGCAATACCAAAATATTCCTAATAATGGTAACATTTCTAATAGCGTATCTTCTGGTCCCTGGGATGCAGAGAAACGTTTAAGGGACCCTCAGCAGGAGGAAAAAGCCTCACCTGAGAGCACATCAGGGCACAAACCCCATCCAAATGTCATTTCAGCACAGATACAAATGTCCTTGGCCCTGGCAGACCCAAGGGCTTGTCTAGAGCCCTCCCATTTTCCCTCTGACACTGTTTATTTTTGGGGTGAGTCGCTCTGTTCCAATAGCTCCTGCTTCCAAAGGCCTCTGGGATGGCAATGTGGAACTGGGTTTTGTCTCCATGTCTTAGAGCCCGAATGTTTTGCTGCAGCTCAGCTACATGTTGTGCTCAGCATGAAACAAATCTACTTCCAGGTGGCCAAACATGGTGAAGATTTTGCTTGGAATGGCAACCCCGTTGGTAAACCTCTTCTTTCTTATTTTAGGAGATGACAACCACTCATCCCTGCTCCCCGTGCTGCAAACCACCCTCCTGGGGCTGGCAAGTCACCGCTGGTCCCACCACGTCTTACCCTCAGAGGCAAAGCCAGGTCTCCATGGTTTACCAGGGAGCCTTATGCCGGGGTCGAGATCTGAATAGTTAATGAGCTGAAATGACAGACCTTTCACCAGCGACAATGCCCCTCTAATTAGCCGGAGAAAGCGGGCGACACGCTGTGTGCACAGGTAGGGTTGTGCTCCCCTGGGGAACGGCACGGCTCCCTGAGCACGTCCCATCTGCAGGGCTGGGGACAACAGCTAGACCCTGATGACAACACCCGGGCTGAAACGCTCCTTTTGTGCAACATCTGGGACAACAGCTAGACCCTGATGACAACACCCGGGCTGAAACGCTCCTTTTGTGGGAGGGGGGGGATAAATCCAAGCCCTGATCAATTACTGTGCAACCGGGTGGCTTTCTGGAGGGCTGAAATGGATGCTTTGACCTGTGCCCACCCCGCGCAGCGTGAAATGCCAGATACTTGCCAAAACACGTTTGCCAAGGCTTAGGAGACACAGCAGCACATGAAGCTCCAGCGTATGCTGAGCACCTCAGCATATGCTTGCATAAAGAAAATATACCTGGATTACCAGGGTTTCACATTCAGGAATTCACACTGAATTCACACATCATGTGAATTCAAAATTCACACGCTGAATTCCATACACCTTCCCTTTCCCTCAAATCCTCTGGCCCAAAACGTCTCCCTCTTCTGTGGTCACCCTTTTGAGCTAGAGCAGGTGTCAGAGACAGCTGTACACGGCCACCAAAATCTGTCACACCAGGCGAGAGACACCTTTGAGCTCTCTGAAATAATTACTATCAAAGCCAGCACTTGGCATAAAGACACCGAGCTGCTCAGGCACATAGTGAGCAGTCACTGCATTTACACACACCTCAAATATATCCATTTCCACATTTAAATTGGAACCAAAGCAGTGCTTTGCTTATTTAATAGCTAATAAGCTTGGATCTTTCAACACGAGCAAGAGTCATACAAGAAGAGGGGATTCGCTTATAGAAAGCTGGAGAATTTCCTTCATTATTTTTTTTTTTCTCCAGCCTGTACGTGAGTTTCCTGGCTTGGGGGAAGTTCAAGTTGCCGTCAGCTAAGGCTGCACCCAAATTTTTATTAGCAGAGGGGGAGGGAAAGTGGCTTGCCCTTCCCACGGTTTCCCCCAAGACTGTTTCTGTGCACAGAAGAGAAGAGGCTGCCGGGGAGGGAATTACCCTGAGCCCCAAGGACAGGGACACAGCCCTGGGTGGGATGTGGGTGAGTTTGTTTAAACCGAGTCTCCCTGGTGCCCAGGGAGCATCCTCACCGCTTCACGGGGACTCTGAAATGAGCCTTTTCTAGTCCCTTGCTTTTTTTCTTTTTCTTCCTCGGACAAGGAATTGGATAGCAACAATTTCCTTCAAAAATCTGAACCGAGACCTGCCATCCCTCAGCTGCTCGTTTTTACCACCAGGCTGGGGAACAAACCTCTCTCTTTAGCCCTGTTGGCATTTAATAACACTAGTCCCAAAAACCCCCTCAGCGGGGTGCCAGCAGCCCTATAGGACCTGGTCCAGAGCTGTGCAATGCGAATTCTCAGAGAGCAAGAAAAATCATCATACCGACCTCCCCCTGCCCCACTAACCTGCCCGGGGAAGGGGGTTTTCACCCCAAAAAGCTCCCTGCCACGTCGATCATCCCTCCTATCACCCCCCAGAGCAGCCTTGTCCCCAACGTGCCGCCCACCCCTGGCTCCCCCATCCCTCGGCAGGGCAGGGGATGCAGGCTGTTCCCGGCGTGTCGGCACGTCTCGCATGAAACCCAGGGCCAGGAAAGGGGAGGGCAGCTGCTGCCTGTGCACAACGTGCAGGCTGTGTGCGGTAGGGCTGTACTCACAGCCTGCCAACACCCGGGCCGGGAGGGCGGTGGGGATGCTGGGGCTGCCAATGGGAGCCGGCAGGAACGCGGCCATGTGGGAAACTTAAAATGCTGAGAGGAGCTGGGAGAGCACGGAGAATCCTTCCCAACCCCTGCCCGGGCTGGCAGGATGGCTGGTTTGGGGTGGTTTTTTAATAAGGTGGATGGGTTTATGGGGTTGGGGGGTGTAACGATACGTGGGGAGATGGGGTGGGATGAACCAGGGATCAGCGGAGGTATTTATCTGCAATCTGGTTTGAATCATCTGACTATGAAAAGAGATCAAGAGACCCGACTCTGCTCTTCTTCAGTTTTCAGTTTCACAGACAAAAAATTTTCAGTTTCACAGACAAAAAAAAAAAAAAAAAAAAAAAGTTTGGGGTGGTTTTTTAATAAGGTGGATGGGTTTATGGGGTTGGGGGGGGTGGGTAACGATACGTGGGGAGATGGGGTGGGATGAACCAGGGATCAGCAGAGGTATTTATCTGCAATCTGGTTTGAATCATCTGACTATGAAAAGAGATCAAGAGACCCGACTCCGCTCTTCACCCATTTTCAGTTTCACAGACCAAAAAAAAAAAAAATCATTCTGGATTTTAAAGATGCTATTTTAGCTGTTACCGAAATCAGAAACAGACCCAGGAAGGGAGAAGGAACACGTATTTACATCCGTGAAGATCCTGCGTGTTGCTACCCCTTTCTTTGCACAGCAGAGCATTGCTGCTGCGTTCGTTAAAGCACCCCCAAATTGATCTTATTTCCTGAATTTCCTGAAACATTCCACAACGCTAAACCCACCTACCAATAGTCTTGGGAATATTCCCCCCCCCCTATTTAATTCACTAAGCTTCCCTTTAGGAAATAAGTCAATACTCAAGAGGCGACACTCCTCCCCAGGTGAGAATTTTCCAAATCTTATTTCCAAGGTGCACAGGAATTTCTGCGGCGCGCTCTCAAACCAGGGTTGTGTGGGGTTTTTTTTTCCACTCAGCAGCTCCATTCATACAAATCCACCACCACCCCCCCCTCCAAACCCCCCCCTGCTTCCATCAAACCTCCTCCTGGTGAGCAATATCCCAGCTGGGCAGGGACAGGAGCCCCAGCCCCATCTGCGCTCCCACCCCCGGGATGCTCGGGGCGGGAGGGTCGGAGGGGGTGTCCCCTTGGGGGCAGGAGGGGCTGGGGTCATTCGTGTCGTGTCCCCCCCCCCCCCCTTTCCTTCCCCGCCGGGGCTGAGGAAGCGGAGGGAGCCGTGGAGTTGCTCTGCATATTAATGAGCCGGGAGCAAGGGCAGCGGGAGCCGATTTAAAAGAGGACGAGGGGAGGGAAGCGGCAGAGCGAAGGCAGAGCCACCGGGGCAGCAGCAGCATCACCGGGACCCCGCTCGCTCCTCTCCTCTCCCCGGCGACGGGGTGGGGAAACCCGGGGGGGGAAACGAAGCCAAGAGGGAGAAAACCCCTTAAAAATCCCCGGCGTCTCTTTAGGTACCTGCCGTCCCACCATGAAGCTCCTGACAGCAGCTCTGCTCCTGCTGTTCATCGCCATGTGCTTAGCCAGCGCAGAAGGTATGTTGGTTTATTCTGCTTTATTCTGCTTTATTCCCATGTACAACTCTTTTCCAGGAGGTTGCTTTTCCAGGTGGTTTGTTGTTTGGGTTTGTTGTTTTTTTTCTCCCCACTATTTCCATATTTTCATTTGATTCTTGGTAGCCCCGAGTTGGATTTCAGTGTCCCCCGCATGTTGGGAAAAGTGATGTATTGGGTCTGTAGGAGCTGTGAGGGTTTTGGTTGGGTTTGTTGGTATTTTTAAAGGTGGAAGTGGAGGTAAAATACAAAGTTGTGTCCTCATTGCATGTGAAACAGCCCCAGCTCACAGCGTGGGAGGGCACACGCCGTTTGCCGTTATTCGGGACGATAGCTCAAATATCTCCTTCAAAACCCAGGCTGGTTTTCACAGGGAAAAATAGGACAGAGCTGGATTCGATGTGGTAGCACAAATCCCAGCCTGTATGCCAAGTGAGCGTTTCCTGCTGTGAGCAAAAAGCGATGGTTTTTAAAAATAAAATAAAGCCAGCTCAGCTTTTGTCTGGCTGCGAAGGCACGACAGCATCCGTGCGAGGAGGAACGACTGAGAGTCCTATAGAGTCCAAGAGAGACACGAGTGAATGAGAAAGTAGCTGAGATGTGGGTTGGCTGCTCAGTTTAAAGCAAGTTCCGACTCTTTCATTTCCTTTTGGCACAAATCCCACCCTGTATGCCAGTGAGCGCTTCCTGCTGTGCGCAAAAAGTGATGGTTTTTAAAAATAAAATAAAGCCAGCTCAGCTTTTGTCTGGCTGCGAAGGCACGACAGCATCCGTGCGAGGAGGAACGACTGAGAGTCCTATAGAGTCCAAGAGAGACACGAGTGAATGAGAAAGTAGCTGAGATGTGGGTTGGCTGCTCAGTTTAAAGCAAGTTCCGACTCTTTCATTTCCTTTTGTTAAATGCAATTACATTTAATCACAGCAGGTGCACTTTAGAAAGCTCACATATTGACTAACCCTCAGAACACAGAGAGTGCTCCAAAACATGTTTCCCGGAGAGTCACTACCTTTTCCTGGGATATAGCAAAGAAAATATTACTACTTTTTTTTTTTGTTTGTTCGTTTTTAAGCTCAGCAGCATTACAAAATTCAGCTTTTCCCCACTGAGGCTTGAAAGCCCAAAGCAAAGTTTGTGCCCACAGAGGGGCTGGCGGGGAAGGGACGCTGGGTGAGCGGGAGGGTTTTGCAGGCACATCAGAATAAATGCTCTCTCTTGTAGGCGTAAAGTGCAAATGTTCAAGGAAAGGTCCTAAAATAAGGTTCTCTATGCGGGAGGGTTTTGCAGGCACATGAGAAAAATGCTTTCTCTTGTAGGCGTGAAGTGCAAATGTTCAAGGAAAGGTCCTAAAATAAGGTTCTCTAACGTGCGGAAGCTGGAAATCAAGCCGAGGTACCCGTTTTGCGTGGAAGAGATGATTATGTAAGTTTTCCCTCATTTATTGCTTTCCGTTTCCCCGATCAGCTGAATTGCTGTACCTTAAACTGCAAGTTCCTGCTTTGTTCTTTGTTTTTCCTCATGCCCTGGCTTGCTAATTTCTGGGAATACTTATTTGCTGCAAAATCGTTAATAGACACAATAGAACATGCCGTTCTGACCAAAAACCCAGCTATCATTTTTCGACACCATCCTTTTTGCTCAAAGATATATTTTCAGAACAGGTAGTAATAAAAGGATAAGCATTAGTTCAAGTGAAGACAGGGACAAATCCTACTTCAAGGTGCCCGATGAAAAATCCGGAGCTATTTCCTCAAGTTATTCAGAATAAGAACCTGAGCAGAGAGTTTGGTCCGTGGTGGTTTCTGCAAGGAAGAATTATCCCAGAGTCAGATTTTTGCCTGTGTTACACCCGAGCCATCCCCTCATATGCGAGGAAACCCTTTTCCTCCCCATCTCACTGCAAGCCATGACCAATGCTGCTGTGAAATCCCAATGTGATGTAGCAACCAACCCAGCCCAGGCAGGTACGGGGATTTTTGACATCTCTGATGACTGGCTCAAAAGGAGGTGGTTGGGTTTTTTTTTCAGATTTTAAGGTGGTTTGTGGTGGGGGTTTTTTTCTGTTTTGGATATCTTAAGATCCCCCAACAAAGCAGCATCCAAGCAACGTGGGGCTGGATAAAGACCAGAAGGGCAGATTAGCTGAGAAGACTGCACCAAGCCCCTCTGCCACCTCAGAGGAGGGGGGAAAAGTGTCCCACAAGCAGCCACACCACCAGAAAACAACGAGGACTGATTTTCTCCAGCGTTTGTGCTCCCTCACTGAACGGTTGCCATTCACTTAATCTTAGAAAGGTGCTTTAACAGCACCTGGAGTCCTGTCCTGCCAAGCCACGTACCATCTCCGGCGCTCTGCAATGCCCACGGGGCCAAATCCTGCCCAACTGACTGGCACAACCAAGGAAATACTATTGGAGCCTGATCCTGCCCACACAGAAACAGCTCATCAGACTCGGTGGAGAGCTTGAGGAGGAGGAACGGAGAGCCAAGCTGCCTTAGGCATCCTCCAGATCTACACCAGCATCACTGCGAGCAACGCTTGGCTCAGGGAACACCAGACCCACCTCCCTGAAGCCCAAATCAGCTGATGGTGACCTGAACAGAAAAAGGCTTGCAGAGCATCACTGCCTGAATCGGTTCCTTGCAGCTTGACTTTGTTTGCATTGACCTTTCAACAGCAAAGGGATGGTGTAGAGGGGGCACTAACTCTTTGCATCCCACTCCAGGCACTTGCCCCACAGCAGCTGGTGGCCGGGGCGGGGGGGTGGGGTATAAAATAAATCTCATTAACGCAACGTTTCACTTTCAATCAAGAAGTCAGGAAAGCTGGAATGCCGTGCACGAGCCGGTTGCTTTCCCAGCTGGATAGCTCTGCAGATGCTGAGCGATGCTATTCAAGCCCAGAGGGTTGTCCTGGCTTTGAGGCATGTCCCATCACTGAGGCTGTCCCACCACGGGCAGGGCTAACCCACTGCTGTCACTGCCTTCCCAGCTACCCTAATGCAGCCTGAAGGCAGCACTGAAAGCAAACTGAAATTAATATTCCATGAGCCAATTGATCTAGGAGTCTCCGGACAAGGCAGGGAAGAGCTAAATTCCTGCAACTGAGTTTTTGTTGCTGCGGTGATCATCTGAAATGAGTTGTTGAAGCTGGGTCCCCTCCTGCCCTCCCCAGAAGCTCCCGTATCTTTTCATACGGCAGAAACACGATACAAACAATTTTTGGCAGAGAAGCAGCAGGTACTGGGGTGCAGTTTAGGAAGGAGTTTGGCTTTGGCAGAGCTGTGCTACAGGGTAAGAGAGAGATGAACCGAGCTCTCAGCCTAGTCAAAGCCTATCAAGATTCACAGTACATCTAGCAGTAATTGGGTATCTGCCACCCGCAGAAACACGATACAAACAATTTTTGGCAGAGAAGCAGCAGGTACTGGGGTGCAGTTTAGGAAGGAGTTTGGCTTTGGCTATCACCCCCCCAGCAGAGCTGTGCTACAGGGTAAGAGAGAGATGAACTGAGTCCTTGGTCTAGTCAAAGCCTATCAAGATTCACAGTACATCTAGCAGTAATTGGGTATCTGCCACCCGGAATGAGGAAAAGCAGCAGAAAATAGGAGGGAGGTTTAACTCTTTCTGCCTGGAAGGATCCAACCCCCCCCTCCACGTATTGCCCCATCCCAAAGCGGGGGGAATGTGTTGGGGAAAGAGCAGCTGATGGGAAACAGGAGTCACAGGGAGCCTTTCTCCAGGGACAGCTGAGGGAGATGGCAGTCCCTGCACCAGCTTGGGATGACTCCAGGACCTGCTCATGTCCCAAATCCCACTGGAGGGATGTCACCAGAGGTGTAAGTTCTGCTGCTTCAGTTCCTTCTCCATTTCTCTCAACCTCTTCTTGCAGCCCATCCAGAGAACTCCTCACTCAGGGTATCTGCTACCAGAGCACCTCTTCTTAGACATCTGCTGGACCAGCATCCCCCAAGAGCAGGGCCAGCTCAGCTCAGGGTGCCCAAAAACACTACCACCCACTGCCCACAGCACCAGGGACTGCACAGCGACCATGGGGCTGGCTTAGGAACATCTCCTCTGTGTCCAGCCTCCAGCATCAAAGCAGAAAACCTACATGTGATGTCAAAGCAATGCATCTCAGCCTGAGAAAAGACTCAGTGGTTCACTTAAGAAGAAAACCACACATCTCCTCCTCCTCCTCAGACTACAGACTCTAGTGAATCTAGAATTGTCCTTCACTGCTTCTGGTGCAAATGTAGGGCTTGCTGCTTTTCAGAGGCACTCCCGTTCCACTCCTCCTGCGATTCAGCTTGTCCATCACCTTCTGGAAATACCCTCTATGGTCTGTCAGAAGAGAAACCCAAGCCAAGGTCTGGTACCAGCCAGCGCAGACAGCACAGCCAAGAAGGTGGCTGCTGGGTGGAGAAACTTCATGCTGACCTCAAGTCCCTTAAAATTTGCATGTCTTGTGTCTTCCATGAAGGTTTAGTTCCACTCCCATTCGAAGCTCCCTTGTCTTTTTGTGACTATCTCCCACCCACTGGAGGTGGAGCAGGGAAGAAGGTTAATTGAATAGAAAGAACTATCTGAATCCCCCGTATAACACTGAAACTGGAAACGTGGCAAAACCCTTGCTCATGCAGGCAACATACAGCTTTTCACTTTGTCAAGCATGTCCCCTCTGCACTGGGTGGAAGAGTTGAGAAAGTTTGCAAGGATCTGGTTTTTTTTTGGGTTAGACGATAAACAGCTCCTTTCTGAACCAAATAACCAAAGCAGCCCATCAGTAAGCACAGATATTTTTGGTTTCTGCCACCATTTTACTCACATCTCTAGCAGCATTTAAGTAATTCCAGTAGAGTATTTCTGTTAAACTAAAAACTGTTTCCCTGTAATGGATGGTATTTCCAGAAAAAGAATAATTCCAATAAAAATGTCAGGTTTTGCTGGGTTTTTTTAAATTCACAAAATTAATAGGAAAGATGAAGCCTTGAGAAATGATAACAATCTTGGCATTTCTGGAAAACCATCCTCTTGGGAAGCAGCTCCAGGTCTCTCGTGTCACCTCAATTGTGGCAGACCAACCAGTGCTGGCTTCACTAAACTCTCCAGGAGGAAGCCTAAAATGACAGGAAGACCTTTGCTGCGTTTTGCCTCCCAGCACATCGTGCCCTGACAATAAGGGGACACCCAGGCGCTGCTGCTGGCAGGGCGAGAAGGGGCAGCCCATGATCAGGGGAGGCTGAAGCCCCAGGACTGCATGCTGGGGCTCAGAAATACTCTGGTGGGCACACAGGTACTCTGCTGTGTGCAAGTACTTCAAAAAAAGAAAAAAGAAAAAATAATCAATGAAGCAGGTCTGATCTTTTCTCTTGGACGCATCATTGTTGAGTGTAAGGGAACCATCTCCACATAAAAAGACCTTGTGGCTGCCTGAATGAGCCCTAATTAAATCAGCTCTTAAGCTCAAAACAAAATATCCAAGGCAGGCAGAGCAAACCCACTGATTAAAACCAGTGGGTAAGTCTTCGTTCTGGTACAACCTGATATAATGGTGGACAATATTGCACTGCACTGATTGATAACAGCTGAAGATCTGCTGCGATGTTATTGCCATAAACTCAAATCCTTGCCATAAAACAGGGAGCATGAAACCCCTTCTGCTGCCCGCCTGGGTGAGCCCCCTGACTGATTTTTGGCATTTACCTAGAGTGAGAGGAGGGGGGGACTGGGGTTTTCCACGACTCCCCTAACCCAGGCTCGCTTTGCCTTGCAGCGTGACGCTGTGGACGCGGGTGAGAGGGGAGCAGCAGCACTGCTTGAACCCCAAACGCCAGAACACCGTGAGGCTGCTCAAGTGGTACAGAGTATGGAAAGAGAAAGGCAGGTAAGGACTGATTTGCTGAAAGGGGAGAGGGGGAAAGTCTCGGTGGCAAGTTGGGCAACCAGCAGCGCTCCAGGAAAGTGCACACTCCGAAATTCTCCATCCAGCACAGAGGATGTATTTGAAAAGTCTCGGCGGCAAGTTGGGCAACCAGCAGTGCTCAGAGAGCGCCCAGGAAACTGCATGCTCCAAAATTCTCCATCCAGCACAGAGGATGTATTTCCCTACCAAAATTACAGTTATAAATGGATGTTCTTGATGTTATTTCTTTCCTGCCACATGCACTCCTCGCTTCTATTTTAGGATTAGGCTGTTCTGACTATAAATAGTAATTATTTTCTGTCAAAAAAATTAATCAGCTGATGTTCTCAGTTATTTACATACACGCACCTCCCTTCTACGGGTAAAAAGCCAAGATGAAAAGCTAAATTACTTCCACACGGTCATAAGGAAAGCAGGCAGCAGAGCTGGGGAGAGAGTGCCCTGTCACACACTTTATTCACACCACCTCAAAATCGTCAGTACCTGATGACGCAGATCTTTCCCAATTTTAGTTAGCGTATCATTCCCAGGAAAACAGTCACTTGCTGGCAAGATGCTCAGCCACTTTCTCCTTTGCAAAGAGGATTTTTTTTTTTCCCCCCCTTGCAAGCCATCAGTCACAGAGAGAAGGGAGAGAGTGGAAAATGTGAATTCCTGGTGGTCAGTGGTGATGTCCCCATCTGTAATTAAGGGGAGCTGCCCAACTCACACCAAGAAAGAGCCTCTGCACGCGGCACAGACCCACCAAACCTTCATCCTCCTCAAAAATGGGAAATCTGCTCCCCAAAACTGAGGTCAAACAAGGCCAGCAAGCCTCATCTCTCCGCAGGTCCAATGGTGCCAGCGAGCTCTGGCACAGCCACGCAGTGCCTGGTGGCACGGGCACTGGGAGTGATGGTGGGTGCCAAGCCCCCCCAGCCCACCCCCCTGACTCCCTGCCAGCTCCCTGTGGCTGCTCCGCACACTGAGCATGTGGGGAAGCCCTGGCTACTGCACAGCCAACTATTTATCCTTTTCCCCTGGTTTGTTTGATGGGGTTTTTTCTAGGGGGGTTGTTTTTTTGGGGGGGTTGTTTTTTTATAAACCCATCACTAAGGTGACAAAGGATGCTCAGCCCCAGGATCACGCATCCAGGAAACGTGCAGGGTTCTCTCCAGCAGCCCAAGAGGAGGGATGCTCCATGCAAAGCTGCAGACTAACTCCTGCCTGCAGATTATGGTGCTGCCCATGCTCTCACTGCATAAAAGTACTTCACCAGTACTGAAAGAGTCCCTAAAGGGGCTCCAGGAAAGCTAGGAGGAGGGGGGACTCTTGATTAGGGAGGGGAGCCATAGGAGGAGGGGGAACAGCTTTAAAGAGGGGAGATTTTTATGAGATATTGGGAAGAACTTCTTTGGTTGGAACATTGGAACAGGTTGCCCAGAGAAGCTGTGGCTGCCCCATCCCTGGAGGGGTTCAAGGAGACTCTTGCTCAGGGAGGGGAACCATAGGAGGAGGCGGAATAGCTTTAAAGAGGGAAGGTTGAGATGAGATGTGGGGAAGAACTTCTTTGGTGTGAGGGTGGTGAGACACTGGTCCCGGTTGCCCAGAGAAGCTGTGGCTGCCCCATCCCTGGAGGGGTTCAAGGGCAGGTTGGAGGGGGCTTGGAGCAACCTGGGCTGGTGGGAGGTGTCCCTGCCCAGGGCAGGGAGTGAAACTAGATGATCTTCCAACTCAAACCATTCTATGACTTTATGATTCTACAATTCTCCTCTGTAGCCCAAAGTGAGGTTCAGCTGGAGGCTTCCCTGCAGTCCAGCCAGGGGAGGGAGACTGTCCCTGCTGCCAGGGAGAAGAAGAAGGCTGGTGACCCCAGCATCCCCAGGGCTTTGGCTGGTGGCCTGGGGTGTGCAGAAGGGACGCAGCACATCCCACAACGTGTCACCCCTGTGTGGCACCCAGCAGGTCCCTGATACCAAACTGGGCACCTGAGCCAAACTGCAGCCAAAGCAACATCAAGTGAATATTTCAGACATAAAGAGCCTAATTTAAACCAAATCCTTATAATAAATCAATAATAAAAAAAAAAATAAAATCTGTCAGTGCCTTTAGTACCGGCTGTACCAAACCCACTGCACTGCTCCCCAGGGAAAGCCAGGGAATTTAAAGTAACACACAGAACAAACATGAACCTCTCCCCCAAAACAGCGTTGCCTCTGGTTGTCCCCATGCCATGAGAGATTGCTTTCACCCAAGAAGTCTGGCACAACTAGGATTTTTCAGCAAACAAGTGAAAAAAGTGGCCCTCTCGGGACATAAACTAGAAAAATAAGAGTCTAATATTATCCCAAAAGAAACAGCCATTGTGAACTTATTATCTACGTACAGCTGATTATATACTTCCACATTTGTATACAAGATAGAGATTTTCCAGCAATTAACATGTATTAGCAGATGTGGATTTCAATCCTACATATCCTGATAATCGTGGCAGAGGTGTTACTCCCCACACACCTGTGAGATGCGGTGGTGTCAACGTCTGACCCTCCTCCAAGATGTTTTATGGAGAAAATCCAGTGACCACTGAAGTCAATAACTTATTTCCAATTTACTTAAGGAAAGCCTCGTGGCAGAGGTGTTACTCCCCACACACCTGTGAGATGCGGTGGTGTCAACGTCTGACCCTCCTCCAAGATGTTTTATGGAGAAAATCCAGTGACCACTGAAGTCAATAACTTATTTCCAATTTACTTAAGGAAAGCCTAAAAAAAAAATATCTGGTTTTTTGTTACTTGTGTGGTTTTTTTATTATTTACTATTATTATTTGGAAGGAAGTTGTTTCATTCATCGTTTAAACACCTTGCTCTTGCCTTTCCCTCTGTTTAGGGTTTATGAAGAATAAGAGGAGGCAGCGTGAGGAATGAGGTGGACTCCCTTGGCTGGCATAGGACTGGGCTCTGCAGAAGATTCTTTCTTTCTCACAGACATAAGACACAAATTCTATATTATTATAAAGCACTTTTTACCAAGGGTCAGTTTTTACATTTTATAGCCGCGTGCAAAAGGCTTCCAGATCACACAAGCATCTGTTGCACTTCAGATTTCACCCCCATCTGCTCTGTACCGAGACTGGGAAAACTCACGCTTTTCATTTTAAAGAGGTTGGTTTGGGGTTTGTTTGTGTTTTGGTTTTGTTTTTTTTTTATCGTTATTCATTCATACTTCACTATGATGGCAATCGAGCTTTATAAGCTCATCAGACAAACAGTAATGTCTGTAAAGGTGTTACACAGCCGTGTCCCTCACCCTTCCACAGTGGGACAGCGTGGGTGCTGTGGGTGTTTCTCATGTTTGCAGCCTCCACCAGGGTCAGGCAAAGCGGGGACCAGCAGCCGAGTTTGCTGGGGAAGATGTCACTGAGACGTGGTGGCTGTAACCACAGAAGTGAGGTCCCTCAGCACATCCTCAAATGAGCACGAGCATCACCTGGGTACCTCTTCTTTAACGGACTTGAGGTCTTGCTGCAAGGTGAAAAGCCTTCCATATCTCCCATTTAACACTTCATGCGTTAGAAAGCATTTCTAGGTCATTTTTATTACTAAGAAAATGTTTAATTTTTTTTTTTTCCCCACCTGAAGTTCTTACAGAAAGTTTGTGGCTTCAGTACCGAGTCATTTTAAGCTTCAAGACTATTATGTATGATTTCCTAGATTTGTAGCAACAAAAAAAAGCCTTTAAAAGGTACCTTTTTATGAAAAAATATGATAGGGCAAACATATAAATACCTATACATGTTTTAGTCACAATACAACATATTCATTACATTATTTTGAATGTAATACTTCAATGTTAAGCAGTGCATTCCTCTTTTTAAAATAACAAAACTACCTTTTCATTTGTAAATATACTATAGGAAGTCTCCCTATATTATCTTTCTGTATAATGTACCGTACTGCTAAATTATCATATCCTATTTAAATGTTTGAAATATTTAGAAGGTTGCATGCAGATTTCATATTTCTTTCTAAGACAAATGAAAAAAAAAGTAATAAAAAATATATTTAAAAAAAAAAAGCTGACAATTGCTCTTAAATTTCCTTATGCCATCAGGGAACTCCAGCCACTTCCAATAACTTTTTTTTGGTGGATGAACTGGTTTGGGGAAAAACACTGAATCAGAGAAGCTTATTTGGAGATATGGGAGCGCGATGACAGTGAAATTAGAAAACGTTACTCCAGTCCAGTTTACTTCCCTTCCTCATTGCAGGATTTGGATTTTACCCAAACACTGAGGAATGTTGTTACATAAAGAAGGGCTACACCAGGCACCTACAGCCTCCAGTCTAGGGTTATGCTAAATAAGTGTTTTTATATGGATGCAGAGTGGTTAATTTACAAGTCAAATGCAGTGATTTAGACAAGATCTGGGTTGTATTAGGAAAGGATTTTACACTGAAAGTCAGGCAGCAAAAATCTGCGAGCCACCCTCTCCTCTTTTTGTGCAGTTTCTACCCTTTCCCAAAAGGAGGGACTTTGTACCCAACACGGCTCCTACACTGCTCCCCTGCTAAAAAGGGCAGCAACAGATGTGAAGGGTAAAGCCAGCAAGAGTTTAAATGCATTAAAAACCTCCTGGTGCTCCCCAAACAGCATCGTGAGCCTTCCTGGCTGCTCCCAGCTGTGCAAAGGCAGCTTCACACCAGGCTGTGACTCCTGTGGCAGTGATTTCATACTATATAATCATGGCAACACCTGGCCTCCACTTAAGGGTTTCATCAAATAGAAAGGAAAAAAAAAAAGATATATTCACATACACTATATATACTTATTTACTGTGACAATATGCTGGCAGAGCTGAAGGAGAATGAGCTATTAGATTTCAAGGTATTTTCCTATTCTGCACAAGGATGGAGCTATGAGCTTTAGGTCCCTATTAGTAAAAAGCTTGAAAAAGATCCCAGAGTATTTAAGAAATTAAACCTCTGGAGATATCAACCATGAGGTCCTGCTTCAGGCTGAGCATCTCAATCCAATCTCTGGGCAAACCCAGACCCGTGGTCCAGCCAAACTGCCCCTTCTCCTTTCTCAAGTCACATTTTAACACCACCAGTAGTTTTTCCTTGACGACACTTGATTTCAACCCACCAACAGACTTCAAAAAGAGGTTTATGCTTATTTAGTGACTACCAGGCAACGTGTTTCTTGGAAGGATATGGATAGGGTTGCACAAGAGGTGGTTAGGGCTCTGTTGGGAGTGTTGTATGCAGCTCCAGTTGCCCAAACGCGCTACTCAATGACTCACACCTCGCAGGGCAGAGCCTGTACAAACGACTCTCAGCTCAGGGTTCATCTGCCAAACCAAAACCACCAGCAAAAACTGGGCGCAGAGGAAATCAACTGTAATTTTTTCCCCCCCTCCATTTACTAGAATGGCAGACTAAAGGAAAAGAACTGTTTGTTTTGACACACGTATTCCCTTTAACCCAAAATCTGTGCTTCAAACAGAACAACTTTTGGAAACAGGAATTGAAGCCACAGAGAGGAAAAAAAAGCTGAGACTCTGAGCTGGTTTTCCCAAGCCTGTTAAACTGCATCTCCAGGCAGGGTTCAGTTCCCAGAAACAGGAGGATCATCCCCTGCCAACCCTGATGCAGCAGCTGTAAAATGGAAATACTGCGTTGGAAGGTAAACATCACACGCAAAACATCAACCACTTTCCTTCAGACTGAAACATCTTTGCTAAAACATCTAAATATATATACGTAGGCACCTCCTCCACCCAGATTTGGCAGCAACCTTAAGGTCTGCTTTTGTTTTGCCCAGCAGATTGCAGGTTGCAAAGCCACAGGAGACCGTTCAGTCCAACCTCCCTAATACACAAGCCATACATTTGTGCTTTGAGATTGAAAAAATTAACTGAAGTATGGTCTGAGCACACACCAACCAGCCCCTGCTGCTCACCAGTTACCAACTTACCTCCCCAAGAGCCTGAATATTGGCAGGGTTCATCCCTGCTCCATCCTGGGGAGCAGAAGCAGCATGAGCAGACTCCACAGCTCCTTTACTCAAGCACCAGCACTACATCTCAAGGATATAAACCCTTAACAAGAGCCTCCAAGGAAGGCAGTGGAGGATAATTTTTCCCCATCCAGCCTCCAAAGCTGCTCCCCAACCAGGAGCACACAGAGACGGAGCACCAAGCCCTGGGCACAAGACCCCCACGTCCCCCCAGTCCCTCCCCTGGGCATCCAGAGGCTGCACCCATTGAGAAATGGTGCTATGGGGTTTTATTTTAATAAAAGCAGGAGGGTGAACCAAGCAGCTGCGGGGAGAGGACACAATAGTGGAGAGACCTGCCTTGCCTCTTCAGCGAGAGCACTACGAGGGATTAGTAACGTTAGACGGATCCTTTCACCACTTGCCTTTCACTTGTTCATATGTGGTCCAGGCCAACGATGGCCAAGAAGTTTATTAAGAAGTCATAGCTGTTTGGTGGTCTGGGCGAGACGGCGCAGAGCTCTCGGCAGGTCCACCTCCCCCCAGGCTCCCCAAATCACAACATGAGGCCACGCCAGATCGCTACACGCATGGGGACCTCTCCTGACCACATCCCTGCAGTGGGAGAGCTGCCTCCACACTAACGAGGTCCCATCAGGGCTGTGGGGCTCGATGGTAAAGTCACCAGAGGGCCTGGGGGTTTGCACCAGTCACCCCCAAGCCCCAGGTGGGAAGTGAAAGCAGCATTCCAGACACACAAATGCTCTCTTGACTAATTAAATATCAGAGTTGGAGCCCTCCTGGACCCACATTTGTCAGGAATGGGAACAAATGTGAATAAAATGCCACCATCCCACTGAGATCCACAGCCAGGGAACTGCATCTGTTCAAGGGCAAAGGGCCTCCTGTGAACCCTGACACCACTCAACAGGCTCTGTACGAGCCCAGGCAGAGCTCACACTCCCCAAAACAGATTTCCCATTAGGTCAGATGAAACACCAGTCACATTTTGAGTATTCTTCCCTCCAAAGCCAGCTTCCAAAAATGAAGCATCTACACCCAGACACGCACAGTATCTGAAGACCCCACTTATTCTGAGAGGCTTGGCATCTTTGGGAAAAGGCAATCTGGTTTCAGCTGAGTTTGGGCTTTGGATCCAGAAGGATGGGCAGCCCATCTGGAAAGCCCTGGCCACGCTGACCCCATGCCAGGACAGCTCTCAGTTTTGGCACTCTTTGGATCTTCCATGCACGGTCATAAATCAAAATACAGGTATTTTTGAGGATCGCTGTTTGTGGCTCTCAGTGACTCGGTGTTTGCTCTACCAGAGGCCCTCTGTGTCTGTCATTCATTGCAAAGCACAGAGCTCCAGACACTTACGGTGATTTTTGGTGCTTGTAGGTATCAAAACACACCTTACAGAAATCTTAATTGTGGACATCTAGGCAACTGGGAGAATCCCACTGCAGTGCTAGCTGTGCTCTCTGACACCACATACCTCTGGAAAGACCTCCATCCTCCATACCTCCATCCCTATGAACCACCTCTGCAAATTCATACAGAGAACACTGAAAACCTGCACAGAATTGGACCACTATTTGATCGTTGTATCTCATGTGAAACCGAGATAGCCATCATCGTTTTTGCCCCCTAAAGTTGCCTCTTTGGGCCATCACCTCTGTATCGAGTGGTCTGCAGTTACTGCAGGGATGCAGTAAGTCTCCGGTTCATACTGGAGGTATTAAATACTCAGCACAGACTCAGAAGTTGGGATTTGGGTGCTTTCCAAAGCATCCTCATTTCTATTTGCCAGCACTACACAAGACAAAGCTGTGCGAGATCAAAGGGATGTTTTGGAGACCTCAGCAGCCCAAGATTCAGCCCTGTTCCTTCCTCTCATCAGCCCTGCAGCGTTTCAGTGTCCGGTGGCTCCTGGGCCACAGCCAGCAGATCCCAGCCCAGATGGTTGCTCTGGAGGAGCGGTGGGGAAAGCAGGGCTGAAAGGACATCTAGTGGCAACGAAAAGCCTTCTCAGACAGCCTGAGGACACCTCTGTGGCCCTTTGGCTTTCGGAGTCACAAACCAGCTTGGAATCTTCTCATTGGGACGCTGGGAATGCCCTTTCCCATGCCCACAAGAAAAGCTTCAACTGTTGCCACTTCCTTCTCAGGTACGAGAAATGCCCCAAAGTAAATAAAAAGCTGCTGTATTTTGGGAAACCTGCTCAGAGGTTTACCCAGGCACATTGTCCCGTTAGTGTGGAACATGCACGCTCAGGGCAAAGAGCACACCTGGATGCCACCGTGTCTACAGGAGCCACGTCCATCACACCAGCATGGGAAACCGGATTGCAGCACAACCCTGGGAAGATCCCTTCCCAAAACCTTTCATAAACATCAGGTGTTCCTGCCCAACACACCAAGCCACGTGGCTTTCTTGCCCAGTGGTTCTCCCTCCTGCCACCAGCTCTCCAGCGAGCCCAGGACCTGCAGGACCACGAGCAGATGCTGTTCCCCAGGTGTTTTTTTCAGGTTCTGTCCTCACACCCCATCAACTGACTTGTCAGTGGGGAATAAACACACGTGCACACTAGCACCTTCAATGCCTGAAGAGAAAAACTCGCTCCCTCTTGCTGGGTATCAACACAACTTCACTCAACCACCAGAACAAAGCCAAGATCCCTGGAGGAAACCCTTTGTAGAGATACACCACACACAAGCATTTATATTTTCTGACTACTGAGAGACAGGATGTATTTATGGTCCTCCTGCCCACCTCTGAAGCACTCAAATCCTCTCGGATTTTTCCTCTTCTCTTTTGCCTGTGTGTATTATCAGCTCTTTGGGCAGGGACCACTCTGACGACACACATGGAGGGCATCCAACCCAACAGGAGCTACTCTGCTGCGAGGACCTGGGAGGGAGGAGTGACATGACACCAAGTGACAGGGAGGCAGGCGGCCAAGGCCTGGGAAAATCACCACGCCTGTGTTTTTGTTTGTCATCCAGCACAACAAAAGGGGTTAGTGAATTCCTCTTGAATGGGTTTCAGAACCTCCCCCAAGAAAAAGAAGAAAA